GAACCAGAAGAGAGAACGAGAAGGAGAGAGAGAGAGAGTACGAGAAAAAGAGAACGAGAAAGAGAGAATGAAAAAAGAACCAGAAAGAGAGAACCAGAAAGAGAAAAGAAGAGAACCAAGAAAGAGAAAATGAAAAGAACCAGAAAGAAAGAACGAGAAAGAGAGAATGAAAAAAAGAACCAGAAAGAGAGAACAAGAAAGATAAAGGGAAGAGAGAAAGAGAGCGAATAACATACCCAACAATAATCAGGCGATTGGATGAAATAAAGAAAGAGGCACAACGAGTGATAAATCAAGAGAGAAAGCATATATAAGTAAAGGGATGAACTAAAGCTTTCCGTTAGCGTGATATCGTTGTCATGTGCTCTATGACCCCTGTTTATCACTGGTTTTCTCTCTCTCGCTTTCGCTTCCTCTCTCTTTCTATGTTTTTCACTCCTCTTTCTTCGTTCTCTCTTTCACCCCCCTCCCTCTCTTTCACTCTCCTTCTCTCTCTCTTCCTCTCTTGTTTCTCTGTCTCTGGCGATCTTCCCTTCTTCCATCTGTCTCTTTCCCTAAACATAGCATATTAACTTTTATCTCTCTCTTCTCTCTCTCTCTCTCTCTCTCTCTCTCTTCTCTCTCTCTCTCTCTCTCTCTCTCTCTCTCTCTCTCTCTCTCTCTCTCTCTCCTCTCTCCTCACACCACTCTCTCTCTCTCTCTCCTTCCCTCCACAACACCCTCTCTCTTTCACCCTCCCCTCTCTCTCTCTCTCTCTCATCCCCCCCCTTCTTCACTCTCATTCCTCCCTCTCTTTCACTATCTGACTGTGTTTATGCACACGTACGAGTATATGTTTCCAAATCTCATTTACGGATTAATTAATAATTTCCGAGTCAATAGGTGACTCTGATCTCTGTTATCGCCATGAGTTTGATTTCCACTAACAGATGTCGCTGCGAGAGAGAGAGAGAGAGAGAGAGAGAGAGAGAGAGAGAGAGAGAGAGAGAGAGAGAGAGAGAGAGAGAGAGAGAGAGAGAGAGAGAGAGAGAGAGAAGAGAGAGAGAGGAGAGAGAGAGAAGAGAGAGAGAGAGAAGAGAGAGAGGAGAGAGAGAGAGAGAGAGAGAGAGAGAGAGAGAGAGAGAGAGAAGAGAGAGAAGAGAGAGAGAGAGAGAGAGGAGAGAGAAAAGAGAGAGAAGAGAGAGAGAACAGAGAGAGAAAAAGAGAGTAAGAGAAAAGAAAAAGAGAGAAAAAGAGAAAGAAAAGAAAGAAGAGAGAGAGAGAGAGTTACTATCTTGCAACATCACTCTCAACTGAAGTCAGTGTCACCAACATCAACGTTCTTGAGAGAAATAATAAAATCAGATAATTAAGTTTCATAATCATGTATTGGAAAGGTCATGTTGTTTGCGTTGACCTATTTGTTTCACTTGGGAGTTGGGCGTGGGCGTGTGTGGCGTGTGTGGCGTGTGTGTGTGTGTGGGCGTGTGGTGTGGGTGTGTGGGCGTGTGTGCGTGTGGTTGTGTGTGTGTGTGTGGGCGTGTGTGTGTGTGTGTGGGCGTGTGTGTGTGTGTGTGTGTGTGTTGGTGTGGTGTGTGTGTGTGTGTGGTGTGTGTGTGTGTGTGTGTGTGTGTGTGTGTGTGTGTGTGTGTGTGTTGTGAGAGAGAGAAAGAGAGAGAGAGAGAGAGAGAGAGAGAGAGGAGAGAGAGAGAGAGAGAGGAGAGAGAGGAGAGAGAGAGAGAGAGAGAGAGAGAGAGAGAGAGAGAGGAGAGTGTGTGAGAGCGAAAGAGAGAGGAGAGAGAGAGGAGAGTTAGCAAGAGAGTGAGAGTGAGTGTGATGTGTGAGGTAATTTATCGAGTGATTAAATCATTGAACAAACTCATACATTCATCTTTCACTCTTTTCTCCTCTCACTCTGCTGAAACAAGGATCATCTCATGCTCTTCCTTCTATGTAGGCCTACAGTCACCCTGACCTCTGACCTCGTTCGCATCCAACCCTCCTCCCCCCTCCCACCCTCCCCGATCCCCCCACATTCTCCTTCCTCTCTCTTCCGTGTGTTTGCTCGTTATTATCGGTAATTTCGTATAATCTTTATTCATTTTTTTGGACTTTTCTCTTACATATACTCTATCTCCTTTCTCCCCTTTTCCATTTCTCTTTTCTCTCTTCTCCTTTATCCTTCCTCTTCTCTTTATCCTCTCTCTCTATTTATCTTTCACTCAAACGGGAAGAAAGAAATATGACGTCAATAATGACGTCATCAACCCCGACAATTATTAATTTCACCGAAGAGAGTAAAGCAAAAATAAAGAGAGGAAAAGAGAAAGAGAAGAGAAGAGAAAAGAGAAAGAGAAGAGAAAGAGAAGAGAGAAGAGAGAGAAGAGAGAGAGAGAGAGAGAGAGAGAGAGAGAGAGAGAGAGAGAGAGAGAGAGAGAGAGAGAGAGAGAGAGAGAGAGAGATTGAGAGATTGAGAGAATAGAAAGAGAGAGAGAGAAAAAGAGAATTCTCCCTATAAACCCAAGAATACCACGAAAAAAAAAAATCCCTAAAAATACCACGAAAAGAAAAAAAAAAGCAAAAAAAAAAAAAAAAAAAAAAAAACGAAAAAAAGTAAAATACGAAAAGGAAAAAAAAAAGGAAAACAAAAGTCGGATTTCCCCGTTTCTCAGAACCTACTGAGAGGTAGGCCTATACCTTCCGAAAAAAGGGCTTTAGTACTTAGTGCTGGGCTACTTATCCTATTTTGTTGTAGCTTTCTCTACTGAATTACGAGAGAATAAGGCACAAGAGCTAAGCTGGCAGGGGACAAATTCAAAATCAAACGTTTGTCCATACAATATTAGCCATTGCAAAGGCGTATTAAAAGCATAGGCCTGGCTTTTCACTAAGTTGCTATTTCACAAACAAATAGGCATGATCCATATTTTTTATTTATCTTTTATCTTTTATTGTTCTATTATTATCATTATTATTATTATTATTATTATTATTATTATTATTATTATTATTATTATTATTATTATTATTATTATTATTATCATTATTATTTTTTTTTTTTTTTTTTTTTTGAAGTCGAGAACAAGATACACGACATAAAAATCTTATTCGGAGCAACACTAGGCGGCTCAGATGTAGGCCTATTCAATCTGCTTCACGAGGATAAGCCTACTGTTCCAAAAATAACGAAAAAAAAAAAAAAAAAAAAAAAAAAAGTTTATTCGAATCAAACTGTATTAGAATTCTATAAAAAAGAAATTAGACTTCTTTATTTTATTACCAATTCTTTACTGTTGGTTCCAGCGCATAGGCCTACTGCTCAATCGAGTTACAATCTAGAATTTCAAAATCGAAAAGAAGAAAATGGAAAAAAATATATATCTTACTTGCTGAAATACATTTAATCGAAGATCTACTTCACTCGATCCCGTATGAGATAATGAAATATAAAAAAAAAAGAAAATTGTATATATAAATTCGACCCTCGCAAAAATAAGAAAATGAGAAAGAAAATAAAAACAGTAACAAGACCAACGAGGAGGAAATAAATCAAAAGGAAAATAATAATTTCGCTAATGAATTATATACGAAATAAAAATATATATAATCTAAATAACTAAGTCAATGAGACTAACAACCCGATAGCCTGGAGGAAATAAATGAATAAAATCATAGAATACCAACAACACATGTCCTATAGAGGAGATAAATCAAGAAATAAGATGACGAAATCTAGATATAAATTATTGAATAGGATCAGCAACTCCCTCGCACTTATAGCGGAAATAACTCAGGAATTTATGAAACAAAAACAGAAAAACCAATAGGATCAAAACCCATCGCGCACTTATAGAGGAAATAATAGGAATTTTATGAAACAAAAACAGACAAAAACAATAGGATCAAAACCCACTGCGCCCTTATAGAGGAAATAACTCAGGAATTTATGAATCAAAAACAAAAGAACAATGGGATCAGCAACTCCCGCGCACTTATAGAGGAAATAACAGGCATTTATGAAACAAAAACAGAAAAAACAATAGGATCAAAACCCACCGCGCCCTTATAGAGGAAATAATTCGGGAATTTATGAATCAAAAACAAAAGAACAATGGGATCAATAACCTCCCGCGACCTTATAGAGGAAATAACTCAGGAATTTATGAAACAAAAACAGAAAAAACAATAGGATCAAAACCCACCGCGCACTTATAGAGGAAATAACTCAGGAATTTATGAAACAAAAACAAAAGAACAATGGGATCAAAACCCACCGCGCACTTATGGAGGAAATAATAGGAATTTATGAAGCAAAAAAACAAAAGAACAATGGGATCAAAACCTCCCGCGCCCTTATAGAGGATATAACAGGAATTTTATGAAACAAAACAGAAAAAAACCAATAGGAAAAAACCCCGCGCACTTATAGAGGAAATAATTCGGGAATTTATGAATCAAAAACAAAAGAGCAATAGGATAAAAAAACGCGCACTTATAGAGTAAATAACTCAGGAATTATGAAACAAAAACAGAAAAAAAACAATAGGATCAAAACCCATCGCGCCTTATAGAGGAAATAACTCAGGAATTTATGAAACAAAAACAGAAAAACCAATAGGATCAAAACCACCGCGCCCTTATAGAGGAAATAACCCGGGAATTTATGAAACAAAACAGAAAAACCAATAGGATCAAAACCCACCGCGCCCTTATAGAGGAAATAACTCAGGAATTTATTAATCAAAAACAAGAGAAACAATGGGATCAAAAACTTCCCGCGACCTTATAGAGGAAAATAACAGAAAAAAAACAATAGGATCAAAACCCACCGCGCCCTATAGAGGAAATAACTCGAGAACCTATAAAACAAAAACAGAAAAACAACAATAGGATCCAAAACCCCTCCGCGCCCTTTTAACAAAACAGAATCGGAAAAACCTAAGAACCAAAAAGAACAATAGGATCGACATAACCCCCCCCCCCGAATCCCCCTCAGAGAAGAACCCGAACCCCCTCCTCAC